GGACAGGAAGTCAGTGACATGGTTTTAAGATGCGAGAAAATAGAGCGCAGGTAATAATAATAATAATAATAATAATAATAATAATACATGTTATTTATATAGCTCTTTTCCTGGTGCTCAAAGCGCTTTACTAATCTCAGAAAAGAGAAGATATGAATTACATGAATAATTCTCATCTCTGTATCGCCTTGTTTTGACACTTCATTTAAAGTTCAAATCGATTACCTAACCTTTTATAAATAATAACTTATATTTTAGAGATTTTCTAAATTCTAACAGAATAAAATAACATAAAATATGTAAAAAATTAAAGATTATTGATTTATTTGATTATTATTACATTTGCTATTTTATTGTTGTTTTCATTACATGTTGTTTTAATAATATTTACTTTTAATACCTTTTTATAAAAAATGTTTTTACATTAATGTCCTTTTTGTTTTTATTAACGTTATTTAGTTGAAAGCTTGGTTTTCTGCCTCTTCGGCCCTGTCATCGTTTTTTATCTGTTATGTTTGTGTAGTAAACAATAAACTAGATTAACATATACACGTTTATAAGCCTCGTCGCTGGACACAGTCATGTTTCTGTGGCAGGAGAATTATATCTTCTTAAACGTATATTTTTAGTCTCCTAAAAACGTCTTGAAGACAGCTCAGCATATCAGTTGATATATGTCAAGTATATTTCATGTCTGAGACGGTGACACGCCTCTCGCCCGTGATGAAAACTCTCCTCAGCTGTAAGAGAAGCCCATGTGTAATGATGTAACTCGAACCACACACACACACACACACACACACACACACACACACACACACACACACACACACCACACACACACACACACACACACATACACACACACACACACACACACACACACACACACACACACACACACACACACACACACACACACATATTCACGCCAAGCTACATGACGCCGTATCACTTTCATTTTCAGCTGTCGAGCTCCCGGTGAAGTCAGATTTTTACACGAGACGATGCAGTCACGTAGCTACTCGTGTTGCCCCGATTTTCCTCAAGTGGCATTTGAAGGAAATAAAAATCTGATATTCTTTACAGATTCGGATTTGTACACCAAAAACATACATATAGCTTATGAAAGTGATGAAACAACTAGAAAATTCACTTGCAACTTTTTTGATCGTTTAAAGAGGTCCGACTCTGCTTTTTTTGGGTCTTTCCTAGCTTTTAGTGTAGGTTTTAGTGCATGTAAATGGTCTGCAAAGGCTAAAAAGACTCTCTCACACACTCCCCCCTTTACTTCAGGAACATAGTGACATCACTGTGTGACTGTCGCACTTGTTTTGGCTAGTGCTCCAACACATTGTTACCTGATAGTCTAAGGGGCGGGACATCTCTAAGCAGTTGACCAATCACACACAGAGCCGGCCAGCTAACCAATCAGAGCAGACTTGGCTCCCAAAAGACTTGCAACAGCTCTATAAAAAGTAATAAATGTTCAGTATTTATAACCAACACCCTCATGCATCTCAATATGTCTCTGTGCATATGTGTGTGTGTCCTTTAATCACACACACACACACACACACACACACACACACACACACACACACACACACACACACACACACACACACACACACACACACACACACACACACACACACACTCAGTGGTGCTGAGTGAGAGCAAGTCTCAGTTTAAGCTGGCTGTGATTTGATGTCATCAGCATTTATTAAATGGGCTGATAACCACCCCTCGGTGGATGGAAAAGCTATACAGTACACACACACACACACACACACACACACACACACACACACACACTCACGGTTTGATGTTACATTTTCACGGATTCAACTTAATCAAACGTATTAGTTTTGTCTGCATTTTTAGACACTTACTGTACATCCTCAGTCCATTAGTCTCTCACGTTTCCCCCTCTCTTGAAGATACTCATTTCAGATTTCTCATTCCTCGTCATCAGTCATAGCGTCACCACTGATCCGGGGCCAGCTTACCTGCAGCAGGAATGTTGAGATAATTAGAGAGGATCTGACGTTATTGGGCGGGGGGGGGGGGATGCTGCACATTCATGTCGCGACACAGATGAATGTGTGTGTGTGTGTGTGTGTGTGTGTGTGTGTGTGTGTGTGTGTGTGTGTGTGTGTGTGTGTGTGTGTGTGTGTGTGTGTGTGTGTGTGTGTGTGTGTGTGTGTGTGTGTGTGTGTGTGTTGTGTGTAAAGGATCAACTTATCTCATCATTAGCATCACAGCTACGGGTGTCAATCAAACAGCAGCTCATTAAATATTTTTTTACACTGCATTGAATTTAGGCTTGTAGACACTTAAAAAGTATTCCCAGTGCACCGGTGGTTAAGGAAGCATTAAGATATTTCACTAAAGTAAGCATCAAAACCTAACTTAAGTCAAAGTAAAATGGGCAAAATACAATTATAGTCTGACAAGTAGTAGTATCCACTCTGCAGTAATATAGAAATGGAAATTTTACTGGAGAAATTTGGAGCTGTGATCAAAATCACGCACAAACTAAATTAGTTATTAAGTCCTGTGTGTGTGTGTGTGTGTGTGTGTGTGTGTGTGTGTGTGTGTGTGTGTGTGTGTGTGTGTGTGTGATCCATAGTGAGGTCACCGCCTTGAGACCAGGCCTCTGTCAGGGTAGCGATGACAGCCGAAAATAAAAATCTTTGAGCACAAGTCCCCTTCCAGACACAGACAAACACACACACACACACACACACACACACACACACACACACACACTGAAGCACTGCCAGTCAGCTGTTGTGTCGTGGTTTGGGCGCTAAGCCCTGTGGTCCAGGGGATGGGATACAAGGGGATATATTATTAATTTACTGCAATCCCCCAAAGAGAGTGATCCTATAATGAAAATATTCATCATCACCTTTAATAAACTGTTGATTTAACACTCTGTACAGTCAACAGCTTTTCTGATTAAAGACTTAAGGTCTATAAATATTGTGTACGGGATGCGTCTCGGTGTGAGTCACATTGTGATTTTGAACTCGATTGGCTTGTAATCGCAACAAAATCCTCTTTAATTCACGTTTTTAATTGCAGGATGAGGGTTTATTACATTTGTATTTGGGTTTACCTAACACTACCAATACTGTACACACATACATGAGTTGAACATTACATCTATGGATGAAATATCACTAAGGATAGCCTTGCAAAAATGTCTAGCGATGAAATACATCAACACTACTCTTTTAAAGTTTGTCATAAAAGTGCGGTTCCTCTTTATCAAAACATGTGCAATGTTTATGGTACAAAAAATACATTTATGTGAGAATAGCGCCGCTGTCTGGCAGGGTTAACACACCTCATCTTATTTTCTGTTGTATTTAAATTAAATGAAGAAGAAAAGTTTAAGTGCAGTATTTATTGAAATCCCTTTAGACAGTGTTGAAATTAATATAAATACATTAAAAAATGATGTTATATTACAATAGATTAGGTTACTTAGCAGTAAATATAACACATGTGCTTCCCCATATGCAGCACCAGTAAGGCTTATTTATAATGCATTAACAATTCATGGCTATTCCAACAATTATTATGGCATAGGCCATTATGCATTAGCCTACCTGTGTACATTTTTTTTTATAACAGTAAGACATATTAAATGCATAGACTTTTCAATATTATTATTATGATTTCTTTATTAAATTGTATAACTTTTACTTAAAGGTGGGGTAGGTAAGTTTGAGAAACCGGCTCGAGATACACTTTTTGTTATATTCCATGGAATGCTCTTAACATCCCGATAGCAATGAATATCTGAAGTGCTTTGACAAAAAATCCATAAAAATATTTAATCTGTGGAAGCCGTAGTACTGTAAAAAGCACGACCAATCATTTTAGCCGGCCCGGCTAAAATGATTGGATGGCCTACCTGCCTGTCAGCCTTCCATCTGTGCACAAACTTATCTCGTGCCCTCATTGGTCATGTGCGCGTTCATGTGTGTTGGAGGAGGGGCTCTGTAAGGAAGTGGCAGATTTTCTCCGGCTGTGTATTTTCAAATTCTAGTGCACTCGAGCTGGTTTCTCCAAAATTACCTACCCCACCTTTAATTAAATAACGAGTACTTAAAATAATATGAATTTAGTAAGACATAGGGAATGCATCGACATTTTATTGGCAGTATTCCTATTTTTTTAATATATTTTTTATTAAATTGCACTTTAAATATGAAACCTTCAGTTGACTGCCTCGTGCTCACATCGCCTTCAAACGCTCGTGCTTTATTTCTGAAAAGTTATGCATTGAAGTCAATGGAGAGAGAAAGATTATCTTTCGATCCCGTTTGAATTGTGCCACGAATTACACATATGATGTTTGTCAATTTAAAAGATAATTTTACAAGTCAAAAAAATAAAAATATGTCGTAAAACTGTGAAGTAACACTTTTTTTGTGTGAAACCGCTCAATGAACTACATCTCCCGTCTCGCACCACACACCAAGACGGCCGTCACGTTGGCACATCTCACTTCTTTCTTTCAGAATGAGGCGAAAAGTATTAAAAGAGGTGAAAATCACTCCAAGTCTGGGCATGTTGAGAGCTGTACATACACACAAGGGGAGTTAGTCGGTTCCGTAAGAGCCAGCATGCGGGACCGGGATTCTGAGATTTGTAGTCTTTCTAGTTGCATATTTTTCATAGTCTTATATTTCAACAGTTTTACAACAAACTGTGACTTTTTTGACATGGAAATTATTATTTAAGATTGACAAACATCATATGTGTAATTCGTGGCACAATTCAAACGGGATCGAATGATAATATTTCTCTCTCCATTGACTTCAATACAAACTTTTTCCGAAATAAGGTCCCATGGGGCTCAACCGGAAGGGGAGGGACTTCGCCACTCTATAAGGTCCCATGAGTCCCACCGGAAGGGGAGGGACTTCGCCTCTCAAAAGGAAAAGTTCGACACCAAAACAGGAAGTCGTCTTGATAGAATTTCCTGCCTGCTAACAGCTCGAAGATGAGTTTCCACACATCAGCGACGCAAGAAATCCACAAATAACGGAAGGTATGAAACAAACCACGGTATTATAATAAAACCCGGAGCGAAACAATGCTTAATAAACTTGATTATTAACCATGTACATTTAAAAACCGTCTTTAACGGTTGTTATTAACCGGGCCGTGCTGTTAGCTTTAGGCTAGCAGCAGCACGCCGGACTAGTTCAGCTATTTTATCTGTATTTTTTTACTTGCAAACAGACCATAATAAACGCGAAGAAGTAAACATAACTTTTAAACAACATTTCAGATGTTTGGTTGTGTTTTCTGTGTGTTAAAATGAGATCTGGACAGTCTTAACGTGTGCTCAGGCCTGTATTTTATATCAAACGGCTGCGTCACCATCAGAGGCGTACACAAGTACATTTACTCAAGTACTGTATTTTAATGCAATTTTAAGTAAAGTACAAGATCTGAGTACTTCTTCCTCCTCTGTGTAGCCCATATGTGCAGGTTGCAGTGTGTGATCACAACTGTGTGTGTGTTCTGCCATCTGTAAACCGGCTTTGAATAAAAGCGTCATCTAAATTAAATCTAGTGTAATTTGAAGATGTGTTGTATGGTGTCTCAACTTGCATTGACTTATATTTGGCTATTTTGAGTGGAAAAGGGCATTCTCACACTGACAAACTATGGTCAAATGTAATATACAGGTAGATCAAATGTTGTTGTTGATAGTAAAGTTGGGTTGATTTAGAGATTTACCGGTATGGACTTGTTTCCAAACTTAAACCAGTTTGATTTAACCCTCGATGGCATGACTTTTTATTTTGGGAGGAAAAAAATGTTTCACCATGTGTTTTAGGAGCTTATATCAATTATAAAATGTGACCCCTCAACCAGGGGTTGGTTGAGGCCCCGCTCACACGGGACCGTTTGCGTTTATGCACAGTATGCGTATTCAAAAAAGTGTTCCGTTCACATGCATTTGTTTCATTTAACGTGTCTGTTCAAACGAGACCGCTGGAAACGCTGTAGTACATATGCCGGGACTGTAAGTGGCGCTGTAACTTCCGCCACAAAATACACCAAAAGCAGTGAAGAAGACTCCGCAGCAGCCCCGCAGCAATGTTGCCATGGCTACCCTTCTGTTTACGCCCCGCCGTGGATTTAGCAACATGTAGTTCATGTATTTCTCCATGTCCACTTGTTGCTGATGGTTGTGGTAGAGGAGCTGTAGATTTTTGCACTAATATCTGTAGCATGGTCAGTAGCAGTAGCTACTGACAGGAGGAGGAGCATGTCTCTGTGGAGAGGACTCGCTCAGAGAGATATTCTCTACAAACACCGGGTGAGATCCTCCTTTGTCAATATAATGGATCAATGCATGAAATCTGACTCTGTTTATTTTGTTTAAGGAGTATATTGGGCGTTAACAATTCTGGTTTGCCTTTTATAATATTATTTCATTCAAGAACCCCTTGTGCGTTTAATTAACACAGCCATGCTACAGCAGTGAGCAGGAGAGGTGGGGCTATCGTTATTTTTTCAGGAAATATTCGTATAGAGGTGATTACACGGACTCTGTTGACCCCCCAGAGCGTTTCGTTTGCAAATCTATCCACCTTGGGACCCGTTATCGTTTGTGGGGTCCGTTTCTATCGGCCTCGTGTAAATAATAGGGCTATACGCACGCGAAACTATGCAGATACAAGCAGTTTTCTCCTCGTGTAAACGGCGCCTTAGTTGCCTCAGGGCAACAATGTGCTACGAGGGTATTGAAACACCAAGGATTTCTACAATTCAGAAGAAATAGAAAAAACAACTTTATATGAATTCAAAAGGTTTTCTGTGTGTGTCTGTGCGTGTATGTCTGTGTGTGTGTGTGTGTGTGTCTGTCTGTGTGTGTCTATCTGTGTGCCTAACCCTATCTTGACCTTCACTGTCCTCACTGTCAGACGGAATAGCCCTAACAGCCTGATCGTGTCCCTTCTGCCCATAACATGTTTTGGTGTCCATTTCCTGTAAATATCAGTAGATGGTAAAGTAAAAACATTGACTAGGTTTATCAATTTACAGCTGGGCACATTTGCATTATATTGCCTGGAAAAAAGTGGTCCAAGTGGCACAGTGTTGCCCTGAGACAACGAACAAAAAAACATAGTTTTAGCTAATTAATAAATACATAATAAGTCTTTAAACAATCAAATATACTTCTTTAGGTATTCATGCACATGCATGTATTTTTTATTTTAAGTTGTGTACATTTCTAATTAGGGGTGCAACAACTAATCGACTTAATCGATTAAACTCGATGACCAAATTAGTTGCCAACTAATTCAGTCGTCGGTTTGTTGGTGACGTCATCACGTGTGTTTTACGCGCCGTTAAGCTCCAACGTTATCGGTCTTTTTATCGGTACTGGAGACATTTAAAACATGTCGTATGTATTATTGCTACATAAACATTATATCGCAGTCTCAGTGTCGCCAACTCGTTTCTAATATGCAAAAAGACAACAAAATGCGTCCATGATGTATTTTCGATCTTTCAAATCCAGACGAGAGATCTCTCTCCCCCGTCTGTGTGCGAGGGGGCGGGGCGGTTTACACGCATGCGGCTGCTACATGCAGCAACACACACACACACACACCCGGCTGCTACATGCAAAACACACACACACCCGGCTGCTACATGCAGCAACACACACACGGAGGGGATGGCGGAGAGAACTAAGCGCTCCAAGGTGTGGTTAAACTTTACCCGTCTCGATGTGGACAATGCTCGTTACCAAAAGTGCAATAAGAGTTTAGCATGTCAGGGCGGTAACACGAGCAATTTGTCGAAACATTTAGCAAAAGTGCTCCACATTCAGACGGAGAAATGCACCGGGTTCGACTGTCTTTCTAGTAGCTCTGCAGCCCCATCCACGAGTAACGTTTCCACGTCAGGTGTTATGTATGCTAGCAGCAACACGGAGCTAACTAAACTATACAAACATGGGTTAATGATTAGAGGGAACTGAGTTATTTAGTTTGTTAAAGTTTCAGCTATTCTGTTTACAATTCTGTCATCACATTATTTAATACGATTTGTTAAAACATTGTTGTTTCTTTTGATGTGAAATATTATTTATTTAATTAGTCGTTTGTTGCAGCCCTATTTCTAATATGTGAAATAAGTGAAATGTATCTTACCAAGTGGTGGCCCTGAGTCCCCTGCAGCTTTGCTTGCAGAAAGGACTGCTCCACCCCCAGACAAAATGCCACACCCATATAATTCCCTCATTTTATTGGACACCAGCATGTCAGGTGACATTGTGTATATTTAAAAATATTTAGAGGGCCAGTGTGAGGTCGAAAAAAGTGGTGTGTTGCCTGAGGGCAACAGTATGCCATAGAGGGTTGCAAACTGGCATTTGTTATAATGACACATTCTGGCATTTTAGCCACATGTATTAGCCAGCCAAAAGTAGCCTTCAACAGCAGTCTGGTGTTTGGGTTCAAATCATACCGGTTTGAAGATTTTTACACCTGTCCAACCCAACCCTTGACTGAGGAAATTGCTGGTGTTGTGTGTCCTGCATTTTCTTCGACACCATCACCCCTGCTATATCACATCCAACATCAAGCAGAACTAAAGTCAGTCTGAATGTTGCCTTCATCTAGGCCTGGGTACTCATGATGCTACTGTCAGGGTTAGTTAAAATGCATCATGAGCGACATTACATTACATGTTACTTGTTAGACGCTTTTATCCAAAGCGACTTACATACTCAATACTGTGGGCAATCCCCACAGGAGCAATTTGGGGTGAAGTGTCTCAGGGACACAACGACATGCTGACTGCAGTGGGGTTTGAACCTGTGCTCCCTTGATCCGAACACCAACGCACAATCCACTGCGCCACACGCCTCCATATCCTTGTATTCAGTGTTCGACATAGCTTCTACGTCTCAGAGTTGGTGTTTTGTACCAAATCTGCCCAACTCTGACATGGGATTTGTCAGCTACAAAACAATATTCTCTGTGTTTGTCTTATGGAATGAAAACACTTTTCTTTTTTTATGTGTCTTCAGAAGAAAGTCAGATATTGCTGACTACGGGAAGTTTAATCCTATTACGAATGTCTTTCACTACCATTACTCAGCGCAGTGTTTTTAGGTTGATCTATCAGTTTGATTTAATGTAACATTCTGCAATAAAAATAGCAATTGTGACTTATTACATCGTGCTTTGCGTGTCTGCTGGTGCCACTCTCAACTCTTTCCTTCACAGACAAGCATTAATAGGAAATGCATAAGTTTGTTTTGGTATTTCATGTTAACAGCAGTGACCTTGTGTTTTCTCTTTTTCTATGCTTGGTGCTTTTGCCTCCTCTGTTCTTTCTCGCTAGTGTCGACCTGGAAGAGAACAACAAATTAAATGTGTGTTCGACAAGACCAGAGTGGACAACTTGAGCCAGGACCAACCGGATGAAGGATTTTACCCGTCCAAGAAGCTGCAGCCCTGTCCCATTCATTAACCCCTTCCTTTTTGTTTTCTAACTTTTCAGCTTTGCATTGGTATCGGAGCGTTGTGCCCCCTCTCCTGCTGCAGGGCCCCTAACTGGCCCCCTACTCGGAGGCCTCCCAGGGTGCGCGCTCCTGCTGCTGGCTCAACTGAAAGCCCAGCTAGCACTGACGCAGATAAACAACGCTTTCACCGTCCGCAGCCGACCGTCGAACTTGACAACCAATTCAAACACCCTTGCTCCCTTTATACCCACGACAGCCCCCTCCCCAACTGCAGCGGCGATCAACCTCCTCAACCTTCTGAAGTTCGCAAACGCCATGTCCCATCCAATGTACAACCCCTATGCCCATGGGAACCAAAGTTCCTCCCAGGGGCAGTATGGACTCCCTAACATCCCGGCAGAGAGGGACCCTCGGAGGGTAGCCTCTCACCTTCTTCCTGGGTCTGGCTTCGGCCCTGCCGGAGCTTCTCCTGCGGCTCCTGCCAACTCTGGGGCGATGCTCCCATCACTGCTGTCCCTATCACTGCTGCCCCCAAACATGAGCTACAGGCCTGACCAGGATCGGGCCAACATAGATGAGAACATAGAGAGGTCCATAGACATGCAAATTAGCAGGGCCAGAGAGGAGGTGAGGCTTCTTAACCAACCAACACATCCGCCCATAGACCAGGGCCCTCGCTATACCAGCCCTCCAAGCGAGGGGTTTCTCTCCTCACAAGGCACAGGGAGGTCCTCCTACCCAATGCCCTCCAGCTCTGCCTCTGTAGGACAAAGACAATCAGGAGCTGAAAGTGGCAGTAGCTCAATGGACTGGTCATCACTCTACAAAAGGCCCCCTTCTGAAGATTACAATACATTTTTTCCACCACCTGCTTCGTCCAACTATGCAAGCGCTGATAACGGTAGGTTCAATGCCTCCAGTGAAAGAGAACGTGACAGGCAGTCCATTCCAGGCTTAGGTGATTTTGACTACCCACGGCCAGATAAACCTGCTCCTGCGCCTACAGAGTCCAGTCGACCCAAGTACACCTCTGAATCAGCGTCCAACATCCTTGTGCACTTTGGACTTCAGAAAGAGGACTTGGAACATCTCATCTCCTACCCCGAAGACCAGATCACCCCCGCTAACCTGCCGTTCATCTTGAGGCAAATCCGCATTGAGAAGACCAAGAGAGCCACGGATGACTCTCAGGCAAAACCCCAACCCCCCAGAACTGTGAGTGGATTGGACACTCAACATTTGAGCAGTTCTGGAGGGCCAAGGATGCGGCAGGAGGAAACATCATCAGCTGTTAACCAGCTAAGTAAAGTGATAGACTATGGACATACTGGCAAATATACAGGAGGTGTTGGAGATGAGATTGGGAGAGCCAGTGGTGGTAGTGGAAGTCTGATGCAAATGGACTCTTACGATAGTAGCAGACGCAGTCGAGAACTACTGCAAACAAGCTCAGCGGAGGTGAAAAGCAGTGCTTTGGGTTCTTCACGAGACCAGATGAGCTCTGTTTCCAGTCTCAGTTCTTCATACGGTTCACGACTGAGCTCTGGGGCTCCCCAAATCCATGATCAGACTAAACGATTGCAGAACCCGCCAAATCAGACTCCCCAATCCCTCCTCAGCTCTTTCTCTCTGCCGAAGAAAGACACAGACATCAGGCTTCTCAAGTCTGAGCCCCCTAAACACGGTACTTTGAAAGAACTACCTGCAGATCGGCAGCCGACGTCCAAAACCCAACCACCTGTTTCTCAGTACCACGGTGTGCATCCCAGCAGACCTGGCCTGGTGCTCATTGGCAGTAATCAGGCCAGTGGCAGCAAGGTTCAGGGTAAAACTCAAGGACAAGGGTCTACAGTTCCGGAGCAGATGAAAAAGCAGCAGCAACCAGTTCAGCAGCAGCAGATGCAGCAGCCGAGGCAGCATCAGGCTCAGCAGCAGCATCTAATACCGCTGATAGGACAATCTCTGTGGCCTCCTGGTTATTCTGTGACTGGTGTCATGCAGCATCCTGGTGGTGGTTTCCCCGCCAGTGCTCCTCCAGCTGCAACACAGCAGATCCCGGGCCTGATGAACCTCCCTCCTCCGTCGGTGCCAGCATCCAAGACGCAGACTCAAGCAATTCGTGACGTCCCCATAGGTCTGCTGACTGTTGCCATGATGCATGACTATGCGGCGGCCTCGCCAAGAATCTTTCCACATACCTGTTGTCTGTGTAACAAAGAATGTACTCGTATGAAGGTGAGTGGAAGTCTGCACCCTGTTCACTTATGGAAGTTGTGGGTTTGTTTTCAATTTGTCATCAATTTAAATGTTATGTCTTTGGGAGTTGGAAAAGGGTTGAAAAAATGTGAAAGGTCAAAGTATTTATATTTTCTGAATTTACCAACAATAACTCAGAAATGCTGGTGAAGTATAACTTTTGTACCACTTTTTTTGTTGTGTGTGTGCAAAAAACAAAGTTACAAACTTATTATAATTATTATTATTTTGTATTGTCTATTTACGAGAGATAACAGTCATTGTTATGTTGTAGCAATTGTCAGATTTACACTAACTTTTTAATGTTGCATTGTTTGATAAAATGAGATGCGACCAACGTTTGAGACGGTTTTTGAACACGGGACCAAGAAGACGTGGCGAAGATGGCTGTTCCCTTTTTATCTTTTTTCTGCCAAAATTTGTATTTTCATTTCTACATTTTTTTAAAAAGTAGATAGTGACAATTTCTATCTTTTATTCCTAATATCGGAGCTCTCGGTAAAACATTGTTTTATCCAACATTAAGTATCAATCTTTTGTTGCAATACTGATACTACTATTTGAAGCTTAGCCCCTCTTTTGCCCCAAAAAATTACCCAAAAGGAATTCCAACTGCGAATACATCAACCCCAAAGCATCTTACTTCATGAATCACGCAATCATTTAGCGTTCACTATCCAACCCTTTTGTGCAATTCACATTTTGTCTAATAAAAGAAAAGATGCACCGGCCCACCCCTTTCCACATCTTCCCGTCTGGGTGATTTCTGCTGAGATTACCTTCTACAAACATCAGGAAATCTTCTAAAACCCCAGAGGACAGAAGAACCAGACTGTGATCGTACCATCAAGAACCCAAGAAGGAGAAATTGTTATGTTTGTTACTGGCACCCCTGTATGTGTTATATTTCAGGCTAAAGAATTGCTGACTTTTTTTTTTAAAGGGAATTGTTGCCAAAGTAGGATTTCATGTCCCTTATTTTGTCCATAAGATAACATTTGTTTTGGCTTATAACAAAGCCACCATTTATATACTGTTGGCTAATGTCTCAGCGTCTCTTGGGCTCCCGATTGTTCCTGTAACCTGAAAGACTGCTGAAGGTTTAAAGAAACCATATTTTTTTTTTTTTTTTACATGAACACTTATCAACAATCACTCTACACAAGTGGGGAGAAATCGAAATGGACATTTGAAATTGACACTCGACAGAACGACGTGCTCCTGATGTCTAATAAAGGATATCTGTTTTCAGACGTCACAAAAAGGACAGTTCAGATGTAAGAGCCGATAACAGATGTGTCGATAATGAGTTTTATCTAAATGCTGCGCTTGTCATTCTAATAGGATTGGATCTCACACCAGAACACCCCCCTTCACCTTGAGAACTGCAGACTCCTCCGAACACAGTCAGTCTTTTTTTTTTATCTACGTCCATTTCTGACTACTGTATCTCAGACTACACTGGGAAGCATCATTTCAGTTATATTTACACCAACTGTGGATTCTATTTACTTAAATAAGTGTCTTGACTAACAAGATTAAATAATAAAACATATTTGCTTTCTAACCTAAGCCTCTTTTGACCGGTTTTTAATATGCATGTCTGTTTTTTCTTTCTTCACAGACACCCACTGTGGGATGGTGAGATAGGGTTCAAGTCCAGGTACTGTGAGATTTTATTTGTCTTGTGCATACACATTTGGATGAGACCCTTCACTGAGCTTTTTCTCGTCCATTGCCCCCTTCAGTCCTGCAGGTAAAGATACCAAGCCCTCGCCCAAAACCTCTTCACAGTCTTACCAGCAGCGTCAGAACACCAGACGTGGAAGCCGCTCTCGTTCTTATTCCCATTCGCCAAGCCCCCGTCGCCATGGCTCGGAGGGTAAAAGGGAAAAACGCAGGAGTTCATCGCGCTCGCCGCACAGCTCCAGACACAATCGCAGGTGTGTGATGCATACATTCTTATTAGGCCAATAACAGTACATTTCCATTAACAAATATGTTCCTCTAGAACACATGTGTCAAACTCAAGGCCCGGGGGCCAAATCAGGCCCGTGGTGGATTTAATTTCGGCCCGCAGGATAATTTCTCAGTATCTGGCTTGAACTAGCATCACAGAGCAGCACACTGAGTTTCAATGGATGTTTCCTTCTGCACTTTTTCTCTTGAGACAACAGGGCATGTTTGGTTTTTTCTTTGAGGGAAATTGTTTTTTTGAAGCTGTTGTTGGCCTGTGGAAAAATGTAATCCCAAGAAATGACTCCGGAAAAGCTGCAGATCGAGCCATAAGAAATGAATGCAACTGATTATTTAATGTTGTTTTTATAGGCAATAATTTAAGCTTTGTTAGTTCCAGGTTTAATATGTGCAATAAGTTAACTTCAATAAGTTTTGCAATAAACATTGAACCAGTCCGGCCCTCGACTAGTACCCATTTTTTTATTTTGGCCCACTGTGTATTTGAGTTTGACACCCCTGCTCTAGAAGATTATCTGAATCAGCGTTAGCATTTAGCTCCCCCTGGAGAAACCAAAGCTTGAAATGTTAACTATGATTCTGGATTATCATAAGATTTCATCTGTACTTTCATCAGGTCCCGGTCTCGTTCATTTTCTCCGCGGTATAACTCCTCCCGCTATCGATCACGATCAAGGAGCTCTGAGAGAAAATGGTCGCCAAGGAGAGACGACCAAAGGTCCTCACCATGGAGGAGAGACGACAGACGATTATCTCCAAGGAGTAGCCACGAGAGATGGTCATCTCCGAGCAATAGCCGTGAGAGACGATCACCTCTGAGGAGAAATGACGAGAGACGATCGCCACCAAGGAGGAATCGGCAAAAGAGGGCAAGCAGTGCAGAAAACCTGGCTAAGAAACTCCTGGGAGCAACAGGTTTGAGAAATTCACAACATTTGAAAGACTTGTAGCCCAGGTTTAAAGATGTATTGTGTGTCGATTGTACCCTTGAATCTCAGAGGCAATAAGTAAACACAAAACAAGAGGACCGAGTACTAATCCCTGTGGAACACCATATTTGGCATTTTATTGAATGCAACGTAAGAAAGTACCATTGAGGCCGAAACACAACAATTTTCCCTGACGCTCTTTTTGTTTCCCTCTCTTTAGCTGCGCAGTCTTTGGCGAACCCTTCTGACCTGGAGGCCGTGGTTAAATCTCTGGCTCCTGCCTTACTGGCCGAGCTAGCCAAGCTGAAGTCTACAAATGCATCTTCTTCCTCCTCCACCTCTGCAACAGCAGGAAAGCCTAGGACTAAAAAGCCCTCTAAGGTAAATCTGAAGAACATGGCAAGTCCTAGACCAGGGGTCGGCAACCCCTGGCACGCGTGCCACCACACTAGGAATACGTGTGCAAAATATTTAAATTGTATTTTCGGATCCGAAAGTTGTTCCGACCTCCTCCAGCGTCAAACTAGGGCTGCTCGATTATGGCAAAAATCATAATCTCGATTATATGGGTCAATAATTGATATCACGATTATTAAAAACGATTATCCATTTACTTTGAAAACATCAATCTATTGGAGATTTTTTTTTTTAACAGTATGTTTTTAACAGTTGATTACCCTGAACTTTAAGTATAATTCAACTGAAAAACCAATTAAAAATAAATGTAATTAAAAAAAATAAAAGTAATAATAAAAAAATAATCGTTTTATTGCGATTACGTTGTTTTCGTAATTGTTGCAAGCCATAATCGTAATTCCGATTTAAAATACGATTAATTGAGCAGCCCAACGTCAAACCCTACCGGGGTTTGACTGGATGCTCTGACCGGTCCACTTCCTGCCTGGTGCTATGCAACGCCTCCCGTCGCGTAAAAAATAGACCAGCTGCCTTTTTGCGGAGCCCAGAGCCGAGACGCTTCTGGGACGCTTCTAGCCGTAACGCGGCGCGTCTGGTGGAATAGCACCCATTGACTAGAGTGGCTGTGAACGGCGCGGCCGTAACGCGGTGCAGACGGACCCGGTGGAATCTAGGGGTTACATTCCAGATTACTTAAAGGATAGATTGGTCACTTCTTTAGTAGGATGCATTTTGTTCAAACCATTTTTAAAAGACAAACGGTTTCAGTAGTCTATTTTCCTAATTACGTGTTTATCTTTCGCTTTCTCAGGATGCTGAAATTCTACCTGGAAACGTTGTGAGGCTAAAATGTGTTCCTAGATCCCTATCTTACACAGATATCAAGCTTGCTGTGGAGCACTTTGGAAAAACAGAGTCAATTGTAATGTTTCGATCCACATGTGAGGTATGTTTAATATACAAAAGATACTACACAATGTAAGTTTCCTCTTGACATCTGTTGCTTTTATCCACAGTGCTTGTATAGCATTGACCAGGGAATTAAACCCCTAATCTATCTGCAAAGAAATCTATACCGGGGTTGAACATTTTATACATTTTAACATAAAGTCTGGTGCACTTTAAGAGCAAAATAAAAGCGTCCGATCTTTGATGAACCTGTTGTAAACCATTTTAGGGTCATCATTTTTTTTTAACCGTTTAGTCATAAACTCATCGGTAGTACAAAATAGATTCCCAAATCTAATCCACTAATGCTTTTGTTTTAAAAGTAACGTACGAATATGTGCTTTTGTGTATGTGCCCATGTAGGCAGTGGTGCGTTTCGAGAAAGCAGCAGACGCTCCGAAATTAAGGACCCTTAAGGACTTTGTGGTGAAAGGAAATTTGATCGAAATTGGCACTGAAAAGGTATCGCCCTTTTTGACTTTCTGTCCCTGGATTATGTAAATGTTCTCATTTGTTTGCTCAAGTTAAAATCACAAATCTAAATTATTTTGTTTACAGGAGCAAAGGACGCCTCATCAGAAGTAAGATATGTTTTACTCGGATCTCTTTTAACCGTTTTTATTATATTTATTACTATAAATATTGTTGTTTATTTATGTCCTTGTTGAAAATAAAAATGTACCAAATGATGTATTTATGTTTCTTTGCACAGGGGATAGAATAATGAACAACATATAAAAACTAGGGCTGTCAAGTTAACGCGTTAATAACGAACATTTTTGTTAACGCCACAAATTATTTTAATGTGCGATTAACGCATGTGTATTTGTCCTCGGCCCGCCCCGTAGTTTCAGAGCCCAAAGGCTTGGCGTTGTTGTTGTTAGTTGGATGGTGGGAGATTCTAGCGAGAGATATGGATACAAAAAAATATGTTTTAAACAGCAAGCCAAGCACACAGCTGATGCTGACAGCCCCGCTCCTGCCGCTCGCTTGCGGCAGACCACGCTTTAAAGTTTGTCGGGGAGACGCCTGGACACGGCGTCTACGAGCAGCAAGCTTTCAACAGCGATAGCTAAATGGGTGGCTACAGCTTAACATTGTGGAGGACGAGGGGCTGCGTTAGATAATTCGGATCGCATCCAACGTGTCGACTGCACATCACAGCGCATTATTTTGACCTTAGGTGGGAACTTCAGTCTCATGCTTTGACTGAAGATGAAGACAGAGGAGCGGCATTTCGCCGACAACTGTAAACAGGCTTGTCTGTTTGAGCAACTGGCTCAGTGCAGAGAAGTAGACAGGGTTGAGAGAGAGTGAAGAGAGAGAGAGGTTCCAGGTTGTTGTATTGAAAATCTTCAGGAGAATATTTGTCATTGTTCCAATGATAATAAACAAACATTTGCATAAAGCATATTTGTCCATTCATATGTTGATAAGAGTATTACAAACTTGAACAATTCCTCTAAGGTACATTTAGAACAGATAAAAAATGTGCGATTAATTTGCGATTAACTATGGACAGCCCTAATAAAAACATTAATACCTTGATTCTCAATTTCTCAATTTTCTCCTGTTTAACCCATGTCATTATTTTTCCTTTACAGAAATCCTGCCACGTCCAAGTCCTCCACACGTCAAACTACAGCTAACACCAAGCCTCTTCAGAAAGACCTTAAAAAACCTTCTGGAGCTGCAACAGGCAAGCCTACCAATCAGCAAAGTGCAGCTAAAGGCCTAACGGGTGCCACTAAAACCAAAGTCTTGGTTTCCAAAGCGAAAAACGTCTCTACCAAGCAGATATCTAAAACGGGAAAGGTTCCTGCGAAGGGAGCTGTGAAAAAGACCGTGGTGAAAAAAAAACCTTCCACTGCTCCAGAAAAACAGCCCGATGTCGAAAAACCATCTGAAACCACAGTTCAAGAAGCTGTGCCGAAAGACTCACCTATTATTGTTGTTGATGATGTGATCCTTATTGAACCCCAGGAAGAACATGACAAAGCTAAAGATGCAGGAGATGCTAAACCAATGGAGGTTGAGGGAGTGGGAGTTAAAGTGGAAGAACCCATGGATGTTGAAAGTTGTTCCCAAGAAGAAACTACTACAGAGGCTGTTCCAGAAAACTCAGTAGACAAATGCAGTGAGAGTGAACCAGCAGAGGAGACCCAGCCGATGGAAAGCTCTGTCAAAGCTTCACCAGAGGTCGAGCAGAGCACCGTCACAGAGCCAGAGTCCACGGCTGAAGCATCGGAGACCAACACCGAGGCTTCAGATGCTCAACAGGAAACTGCAGGAAGCTCCACCGAAGCACCTGTGGAGGCACATCTTCCAGAAGTAGAGGTGGAGACGAAAACAATTCAGAAAGGTACGTTTGATAGGGATTTGTTTATTTGGCACTTGGCATATTTTTTATTTAATATTTAATTCCATGGGTTAGGGTTAGTCAATTCTAAATGTAAATAATGTCCTGCTTTACATTGTGTCTAAAGCCGTTCAATAGTGTTTTATTGTTTGAGATTATAGATTTCTTATCTTCACGGCCTACTGTATATGTTCTACTTTTTTAATACTGCTTTAATTCTATTTTGAGATGTTTAAATTCTAGTATTGTTTATTTCCACTCCTTAATTTCTACATGTCTTGTTTTGTTTCGTTGTTTATAATGCTCTTGCAACCATGGATGTATAATAAGAACTGGATACAGCGTGGGAGGCGGGGCCTCGTTCCTTCCTATGAGAGTTGCTCATTGGCGCATGAAGACAAAATGGCCCAACTTTTGAGAGAGCGAAACGTCACGAAAGTATTCATATAATCATATAATCCGTTCTTATTGTGCATCCATGGGTAAAGGTAAAATGCATGTAGTACTGAACATGTCACATGAACGTGCCTCAGAGTCCGGCGCACTTCCTGGGGGATTGGCTGCAATGCAAACATTTCTCAAATTGGGATCAATAAAGTCTCTCGACTTAGTTTAGATGATTTAGCCTTTACCTCTTACTCTTCTCCTAACAAGCACAGGTAAAAGCCCTTGGGAGAGCAGCTTCTCCCGGTATAATAAGGCCAGATATGACCCAATAGTTGAATCTTCTTGTCCTTAAACGGAGTCAAAAGCAATATTTTCTTCAGATCAAAACAGGACATATTTCAGGCACAGCGTCAACGAGCAGGAGGGACTTCTTGGAGTCGATCTAATGAACCAATTAATCTCTGCTAGGGACAGGATTTGCTGTATCTTGTCGTATAATGACGATTTCAATATTCAGAAGTGAGCAAGAGAACCTCGAAGTTGAAGATGTGTCACGTACGGTGTTTCAACATTGTCAATTCTCTCTCCATAGCCTCCAATAAATCTTCAGTGCCTGACATCATTTACTCCATGTTCCAGTTCTTTGGATGAAGAAATACAAATATGGCCTGCCCTTTTTTCAGGAAAGGATAAGGATGGAAATCTTTAATATGTTCATTCCCAATTACTCAAACCAGAGTCTCCGATAAATGAGGGTGTCCAAAAGTATATGGCTTTTTGGATAGCCACGCTTTAGCTTTCATTTGAATTGAAAATGATCTTGTATAACATTATGTTGACTTAAGGTTATGTTAAGCTCATCCATTAAACTTCAGGCCTATTATGACAGACGACATGTACAGTTGTAGTGTTTTGTAGAACAATGGTGCCGTAAAAAGACGGATGTATGTCAAGGAGAAAGACATTTGTGAGACAGCGACCCTTTAGCGGCTGGATTTCCAGTGAAATAATGGACCACGAGAGGAGGTGGAGTTGCAAACCATGGTGACTTTTATTTATCAAACACCACAAGAGAACAAGTAGCCAGCATGTAGGTGTTCACCACTTCCTGACATTAATCTTTTATTTCAATTTGATCTTTTGAAGGTCCTGAGACCAAAGCGAAGAAACAAAGGGGTTCACGAGCCGAGAATGCCTCTGAAGTATGTCAAGATGAATCGCTGACTTACGGGGAACTTGTAGACCAATACCTGTGTCCATCGAGAATAAGTAAGAATTCCTCAACATGGTCTGCATGCGATTTATACATTTAGCCTCTTTTCTCTTATTTAGTTTCACATTTTCATTGTCTCTCTTTCACAGGGACGCTCTTGCCGGACCTCGTGTATGAGCCACTACAACTACTACAATCTATTGTAATAAGTCTTGCTAGTTTTACAAATGTGTTTTTTTTCTAAAGATATAAATCAATCTAGTAGACATGTCTTTTGTACCGTACTGCTCCAGCACCATACGGTTTACTCTGAACTCAAAACATCTTCATTAAACAAGCAACCTGTAATTATGACCATCTTTTCCTCTCTTTTTTCCAGTTTCATAAAAAGAATGTCCCGCACGTGCTCATTTCCAACCTGCCGGATTATCGCGAGTGCAGCTACACTTTAAACGACATCGTCCAGCAACTTATTACATATACAGTTGGCAGCTCTGAAAGATTAATCTATGCCTTTCCTCAGTCGCGTTTGGTAGGTACACGGTTATAAATCTGTTTGGTTTATTAATCTCGTGTTTCTGCCGAATTTTATTGGGTTTTTATTTTTTCCAAGATCTTATATACACTATCACCAAGATCTTATATACACTATCACCAAGATCTTATATACACTATCACCAAGATCTTGTATACACTATCACCAAGATCTTATATACACTATTACCAAGATCTTATATACACTATTACCAAGATCTTATATACACTATTACCAAGATCTTATATACACTATTACCAAGATCTTATATACACTATTACCAAGATCTTATATACACTATCACCAAGATCTTATATACACTATTACCAAGATCTTATATACACTATTACCTGTTTCAGACAGTTTTTATGCATATTGAAAGATTTGAAATGCTAGCAGTAAAGCCACAAGCAGTTATATTTCTCTGTTTTTTTTCTCAGGCATTCGTCTGTCTGCCATCATGTAAGCAAGTGCTGGAGCTAGTGGAAGCCTCTCAGAAGAAAGCGTTAAAGTTACATGGTTGTGACCTTACTTGCAACGGCATCAAGCCCCCATTTGTAATGAGACCGGTAAGCATTGAGACAACCAGGGCTGATTATTATCCTAGTCTTCCAGTAGTCGTCGTCCGTTCAAAGAAAGACAGAAAATATTGTTTTACCCAATTATCAGCAGGCATCTTAACACTGTCTACTCTAATGTCTCTGTTATAGCTTGGGTTTTATAACTGGCTGATGAAGCTGATCGGTGAGGTAAGTAAAACACACACACACACACACTCCTAACTTGTGCTCATTCATAAACTTTATGATCAAGTAGGTAAAAGTAATCCTAAATTCCATTTTTTTACTCTAAAATATGCTCAGTAGAGTTTTATATATACCTGCATTCAGATACATTAAAAGCTCAAATTAAGACATTGGCTCTTTCCTTGTTAACTTTGCGGTTTGCTTGTTCACTTCCTGTTCTTGATGCAGAGCGCGGATCGTGATGGAGAGAAAATAGTCCTCATCAACAACATTTCGCGGACAGATTCCCAGAAGTTGAGAGAAACTTTGAAAGAAGTTGGTATTCATTCGGTCAGGAACTTCCTCCCTCTCCTCGAAAAGGTATGAACCAACACATGCAAGGATGTGGCTTTTGAAAAAGGACGTCCTTTTTGTCTTACCTGTAGGTGTGTGTGTGTTCCAGGTATTTATAGAATTCGATCTCAAAGATGATGTTAATCGACTCGGAGCTTGGTACAGTCAGAACGGAGACCCCTGCCACGAAATCCACAGACTAAAAAAGTGTTTCAAAAAAATGCTTCCACTAAGAGGTAAGTCTCAAAGGGCCTGTTTTTTTAGGGGTTTTCCCTTTCCTGTAGTGTGTTATATTGTTTTTTAATGCATGTAAATGGTCTGCAAAGGCTAACATCCCTGTGTTACCTCCAGAGGGAGTTTCTCTCCCACACATTTCTGTATCGGTGATATGGCAATGGCGAAAAAAACAAACAAACATGTAGACACTACTTTACTTTTTTTCCTTTTTGCTGTACGACAAAGACTAATAAACGAAAAACGTTCTGAGGACAAAGTGCCAGGAATATGGGGTTAGATTTGTGTATTATAATTTGTGGGTAGATGTAAATTATTTTGAATGGTATTGTCCCTGTATTGCTCTTTACCGGCACCTAACCCTACACTTATTGCCGGATGGATGTTGAAATGAACGCAGAGTACACACATTTTATGGATTATTCTTACTTTTTACTCCACTTCATTTATGTATCACCTTTAGTTAATTCCTGATTTGTTTTCCTTGTACCATCTTATACAAATACGCAGTCACAATCTCTGAGAAACTTATATCATGCCTTGAAACAATATAATGCATAGGTGTATATTAAACTAGCCTACAGTATAAAAAGGACAACAAAACCTTCAACAATGTTAACCGTAAACATCTACATTAGTGTAATGACACAATAATGAAGAGTTATATATTCGATATAGGCTGTACACAAACTAACTGTATCACTGACATGATGATAATAAAGAATGCACATAACGTACCGCTGTCTATTATAGTAATTGAGAGAGTTTGCAAATCTTTTGAATGCATTTGTGGAAGGTGTTTTACATTTACAATTCACACACATATTATTGACACAACTCTAACCACATACAGGAAACACACCGCAAGAAGAACCTGGAAGTTTTTTTCTCACTCTGAAGAGTCTCCCCTTCATGTTTCCTACCACGACTCCTACCTTTGTCATTCCTGGTAAGAGACCTTGTTACAATATCATTTCCACAAGTTGATTATCATGACCTCATTCAATGCGATGATCTGATACTACCATGTTTACGTATTCAGTAGAGTAACAGAATGTTTACTTTTAACCCCAAGATTACCTGACGGTCAGAGGACAGGACGACATTGAGGTAAGCACATTTAAGTTCAGCTTTCCTATTTTATATTATATACTAGGGATGCCAGAAACTGACCATGATCAAAATCGGACAGCCCTGGCGAATATTAATCGATTATTCGATACTATTATGCCTGTTTTTCCTAGCCAAGGACAGGTTCCTTGAACACAACACGAGCGTAACGTGTCCTCACGTGGTATGTCTCGTCTGAAAGGAGTGTAGTGTAGACGGAGAGCACCGGAACGCCGCTCCAGCTCTTCAAATATTGCAGTACCCATAAGGAGCCGTACACATGCCGCAGTGTTTGCGTGGCTGTGTCTGCGATCTGTTGTTAGCATCTGGTTAGCTAGCTATGCTAACGAATTTAAAGAGCTTTTCTACAACCAGGTGGAAGAGAGCTCTCTCCTGAGAGGCTCAAATAACCTCAGCTCAGTGAGGTTAAGGCACACCTTGATATGATCATTATAGTTATTAATGAGACATTAGAGACTGCCTAAAAATAGCATGATAGGTGACCTTTAAAATTGGCATCGTAACTTCTCATCTCTTGTTTAGTAACTTTTGATCCACTTTGTTAAGTTGGTCTCTGTCTCTCTCCATCTCTTTCTCTCCTGTTGCTGTTAACGTACTTTAAGACGGTGTCTCGTTTGGCGCGATCTGTTGTTGTGACTACATCGAAAAGTCTAGACCCCAAATATAAGACGACCCCCTCTTTTGTCAGATTTTCTTATAGGAAAAACAACCGGCTCAATACGATAGTATCAAGAAAGCATAAATAAACCTAAATAGTTCCAGACGGTTTTCCTTACATTCTGGTGAGTCACGTTGTGTGTTTCTGCTCGTCATATGAATCCACCATGTCTTGTGTACGTTGTGTTTCTCCAGAAGGCCAGTGGTAGTGGCTCCATGTTTCCCACCATCATGTTGACCGGTCTACCAGACGGATTCTACAAATACGAGGACGTGGCAAGGGTGTTCCTGAGCTATTTCCCCGAACAGGACCTGGACTCCCTGTACTACAACGTGCTGATCTTACCGCTGCAGAAGAGGGTAAGGGGAAGACCAAAAGTCTAATCTGTATACACTTTATTTATTTATTTATTCGTTTATTTATCTATTGCACATTACTGAACACATAATACATGAAATGTGCCAAGTGTAAATATGCCGGATTTAGCTTTGAGCTACTTTCCCTCACATAAAACATTAAGAAAATTACAAACATAGCAGTACAAATACATAAAATGCAAGAGTAAGAGTAGAATACCGAAGTATTTATGACATGGCAATACAATATAGCAGCACACGATCGCACGTCTGTTTGTTTTTCAATCATTGTTTGAGTTAAACTAGAAACAATGCAACGAAAGGTTCTATGATTGGTGGAGAAAATGGTGTAAAAAGTACCTGGATGAATAAGAGTAGAAATACTGGTTTAAAATATTTCATTGAACTGAAAACATGACTTAAGGAACGGAGTATTCGTCATCTTGCTGCTAGATAGATTCTGACTGGAGAATTGGCGCCACCTACCGCTTATCTTAAAGTGGACCTATCATGCTATATTATAATAACATAGTGTAGGACCATACCTATATAAGGCATATTTATACTTTTTTTTTTTCAAAATACCAAACAGATCATGCATTTTAGCCATGCCTCATTTTGCTCAATTTGACTTTTTTTAGATCTGTTTTAGCAAGGGCTGATTCAGTGAGAACAGCACCACCTACAGGCCTGGCATATGTACTACAGCGTCTCCAGCGCTTTGGAACGGCAATGGCCGTGGCTGTCTCCTCCTGATTGGTGGAGTTGGCCCAATAGCCGTAGCCCCACCGTCCTGACGTCAGGACAGTGTTCAAATCTGGATCAGTTTTTATCAGATCCGTTGCAGCCCCTTTTTTAGAGATTTGGGTATGGAGGAAAATAGAGAGGGTTGTGTTTTCTGACACTTGGTGAGTTCCCTGGAACACCGGGGACACATATTCATGTAGAAAAGACGTACACAAGTGCATTTTGCATGATAGGTCCCATTTAATGAAACAAAACCTAGTAAAAGCATAAGGGAGTGGAAGAAAAACATCAAATTTTTCCTGTGCAGATTACCTCTCGATTCGATTCAAATGGAGATCTGTTGTTCTCTTCACCTCTAGGCCTTTGTGTTATTCGCTGACTGGACGATGTGCTGCAAATTTGCTCGAAGTCACATCTCAAAACCAGTCATGTTCGGATGCCACACAATCAACATTCACTTCGTCTTGGAACCAATACTTCCTGCATCCAGTGAGGTACGGACTCTTGGGGAAAAACACACTGCGACACTTGTCATCATCAGGATGGGAAAACAATCTGACTTGTTGTTTTTTGTTGTTGCAGGAAATGATGTACACGACTATGATGAAGTTAAGCGACGGTGTAAGTCTTTAGCAACACTCATGTCAATCTTTTGTCGAGTGTTTCTTCTCCTGCTCATTAACACCACCTTGTTTCTGCTTCTTCAGAGAGTTCCAGAGCCAGAGTTTCTGCAGGAGCGCTTGTTGCGTGTGCAGTTTCTCGATTGTCAACGAGTCGTCATCACCGCGGTTTTGGAACTCGTTGTCTCCGCTGCGCCATATGTCAACTTCCTGACGCTGGCCAACAGGGTACAGGAACACACACATCTGCACTTTTCACATTTCATTGTTGCAAACACTACCATGTGTCGTCAGACCTTAACCTGTTAAGCCCCAAAGCCCCCGTCGGCGGGTCATCATTTTTATAGTCTGGTACCTGAAAAAGGTCAAATGGCACTGATGGAACCAGATATACCCAAATGTGCCGAAAGCTTCATCCGCCTGGAACTGTTTTTTGCTAAACCTCTCTAAAAAGGTCAAATTTAACTTGTTTTGCCTCAATCTTGATACAGGGTACTTATTATATGTTATAGTTTGGATTCCTAAAGCTTTTAGTCTACCATCCTATAATTCAAGGGTGGTTTTCACTATAAGTAATGTTTTTTCTTTAGGCGGAGGTAAGAATTTACCTTTTTTTACGATGTTCCATCTGAATTTACTCTGACTGAGAAAAATCTATATTGATTCTGACACTTCTACATCCAACTCACAGATGTAACCTTGCTTTGATAAAAGACATTATTCATATAACCCTTTTAGAAGTGAAGTTGTAGTCATTTGTTTTGGGCATGTCATTTTTGAGCCTGAAACCTGAAAAACAGGTTAAGTCGTCTTTACAAGTATTCAATTTAGCTCCCTTAGAATCTATTAAAAAGCTTAAAAATGCATTATATCTCTGTTTTTTGTTTGGTTCAGTCCTTCAATTAAAGAAATATATATTCTGTGATCAATCATGATTTATCACAAGTTTAAAATACTAGAATGAACTTGTATTTTAGGGGGAGATTAAACATGCCGTGCCGTAATAAAGAAATGCATGACAAACTGGCAAGAGAAATCAGAGGGTTTTTAACTCTTAATTTCTGAATTTTATGAAGTCCAGCAAGTTTCCGACACTTAGCTCAAGATAAGATAAACTTTATTGATCCTAAAATGTTTTCGTTACAGCAGCATGTTAAAAGAAAGGCATTGCACTTAGTTTGAAAAAGTAATCAAACGTAAAATATGAACGTCTAAAAAATAGAAACGGAACTAAAAAGTAAAATATATATATATATATATATATATATATATATATATATATATATATATTTTACTTTTTAGTTCCGTTTCTATTTTATTTATATATATATATATATATATATATATCAAAGCTGCTTTAATGGAGAGGTAGTATTCATATTGTGAGATTAAGAGTGTGTGTTTAGAGATTGTGTGTATGTGCCTGTAATTGATCTTCTCCCCTCCTCTGTGTCCATGATTTCTTCTTCAGATGTACATTGAGATGGCCGACTCCAGTGGTGTTACTAAAGTGTTAGAGGAGCTCCAAGCTATCCCGCCAGTCGCACATTATTGGTAAGCAATTCAAATGTAGGAGCGTAGAATTAAATTGGATTTTGTACGTTAATGTATTTTTATTCCCTGATTCCTCTCACTGACAATAACCTTTTGTTTCTTTCTTTAGGGATAAAGTTCAAAGTATTGAATCGTGAGTATATCTCTTCTTTGAATACATTAAATATGTTAAAAAACCCTTAACTTATTGGGCTTTAAAGGAGATTACTGACCAATGACTTCAGGGTCACTGAAAGATAACTTATTTTGAAAGAAAATCCCTCCTCTTGTAAGATAAGATATGGAAATGGGGAAATGTTTTCGTTACAGCAGCATGTTTAAACAAAGGCATTGCACATCATTTAAAAAATAAAGTAGAAAATATACAAATGTAAAATATCTAAAAATAGAAAATGAAACGGCACTAAAAAGTGAAATATATATATATAAGTTGAACGTGAAAGATAAATATCTGTCAAACAATATGAAGGGCAAAATTACAGCCAACAAAATGTAAAAGTAGGAGTGTGTGAGGAATGTCATATTAATTGAGGCCCTGGCCACACGGAGACGAAACGGGTCGTATCCGTTACAGTTCTCTATCTTATAGACGGTTCGGCCACACGAGGCCGACAGGGAAACGCGGATAACGATAACGGGTCCCAAGGTGGGTAGATCTGCTGACGCAACGCTCTGGGGGGCCAAACGGCTCCGTGTGTACGCCCTATACGATCATTTCCTGATAACGATCGCGCCTCTCCCCACCTCTGCTGCTCACTCCCGCGTCACCCGCGTCATTGCTGATGTGTTTCGCCCAAGCCCCCAGGAAGTGCGCCGGACTCTGATGAAAATATTCGTTGTGTCCAAACGGCGGTACTACAATTTCCGTATCAGTCCGTGACGTCACTGGGCCCAGAAATACTTTTTCCCATTGACTAACATTGGGAAAGAGACGTCTGTAAATCAGCGGATAATTTTTTTTAAACTAAATAAACTACCCAGTATGAACTATTTTATAGCCCTTATTAAAATCATTAGGTCCTTAAAGTTGTAAAATGCACTAAAAGCCGAATCTAGATTCATGTTCTGTCTCCATTCATTCTACTGGGCCGAGAGTGGGAGCTCCGGGGGCGGGGCTTAAGGGGCGCATTCTCTGAGCGCACATACGGGTTCTTCGGCTCTGGCAGCCAGGCATGATGGGTAATCTGTGACGTTTCGCTCTCTCAAATGTTGGGCCATTTTGTCCTCATGCTCCATTGAGCAGCTCTCATAGGAAAGAACGAGACCCCGCCTCCCACGCTGTATCCAGTTCTTATTATTCATCCATGGTTTCGCCAACAACAACAACAATGGCGTATCACAGGTTTGCGTTCGTGCTCCAGACGCTACTGACCATGCTACAGATGTTAGTGCAAAAATCTACAGCTCCTCTACCACAACCATCAGCAACAAGTGGACATGGAGAACTACATGAACTACATGTTGCTAAATCCACCGCGGAGAATAACCAGAAGGGCAACCATGCTCGGGGGGTCTTATTCGCTGCTTTTGGTGTATTTTGTGGTGGAAGTACAGCGCCACTTACAGGCCTACAGCGTCTCCAGCGGGTTGAGCGGTCTCGTGTGGACGGACACGTTTCTTGAGCCGATTCCGTGTGGACCAAAGACTTTTTTGATATCGACTTCGGTTCGTTTTCGTCTCCGTGTGGCCGGGGCCTAAATGTAAAATGTACAGTGTGAAGAAAAGTCCAGTTATAAGTTCTAACAACTCATAACCCATTTTGTTTGTCATTTTAGACTGGACCCCCTAAAACAGGTTCTGCAGTTTACAAATGAGGCCAGAAAAAACTTGACCCGCTCTACTGATGCAAAAGGGAAATCCCACTCTTCTCTTCCTGAACTTTTCGATAATGGGTCACAAGCCGCTCTGCAAGTCCTCGAAGGATCCAGCGAGGAACAAATGAAGGAGGACAGCGAGAAACCAGGAAGTGACATCAACACAGACTCTGTGGTTCTTTCAGAGTCTAAAGAAGATGGAGTGAAGGCAGAGGAGGCTGCTCTCAGTCCGGCCTCCTCAGAAACCAAGCGGAGCGCAGATCTTCCTCCGATCAACACGGATGTTTTCCAGGTTCTCACGGCAGCCGTCCGTAACCACCGACTCAGCCGGGCCCGCTGCTCCCAGAGCGAGGAGAAGAAGGTGAGGCCGCCATTTAACTGAACTCAGGGTTCGAAAAGTAATGGGAATTCAAAATGCAAATTCTAGGTTATGGAAAAGTTATCTTGGTTGGTGATTGGCTAATGTTACACAAGCCAAAACATCGTTATGACATCATAAAGTGGCCAAAATCTGATCAGCTCATTTTCAGACAGGTTTTTATAAAAATGGATCAGGACAAAAAGAGAGAGAATCTTTGTTCCTGAAACTTTCAGAGTCTCTTTCCACAGAGGGGACACATGTTGATGTAGAAGAGACGTGAACAAGTGGAGCTTGCATAATAGGAGACCTTTAACATAAACTATTTTCAGTGGTACGACGGAAAAAGAGTAATTTTTTTTTTGGTCATGGAAAATTAGGTAACGGTCATGGAAAAGTCATTGAAAATCATTGGTGAAAAAGTGTATGAAGCCTGTGAACTGTAGTTTAATCTTATTTTATTTGTATTTATTTATTTAACGGGCACAGTGCACAGTCATAAACATTTCTGTAAATGTGCCAGAGCTAACCAAGAGGCAACATTTCATCTGTAAACCCCGACAGATGTTGTAAATTACCTTAAAGACAAATTTCATTTAAAATAACGGGTAATTATAAAGTCAACTTTAATGTCCATTTTATTTTGTGTTTGTACAGACGGAGAGATCGAAATAACGTTTCTAACAATCCCGAATACAAAATACAATAATACAAATATGTATATATTTGTATTATATATATATATATATATATATATATACAATCAACAGACACATTTACATATATGCACACATTAAGATACAATACAAATATAATCAGTGAAAACATGCAACATACTGGAAATGCTTATAAGACACACTCAAACAAAACATACATATTACAAAGCAAGAAGACATTATTTTTATTTCATTACTTTTTCATTTCTGTGTTATATCGAAGCGATGTATTACTCTGGTTATTACCTGGGAATGGGGAGATTTTTACAACATTTTATTTTGTAAATTGTCTGTTTTTTGTTAATGAAGCACTTTGAGTTACCTTAGTGTATAAACAATGCTTCATACATTTGATTTGATTAAACATGAATCAACATTTGGCAATAATATATTCTGTCGGCGCTAAAATGTGAAATCGAGCTTTACATTTTTATATAAGTCTGGGTTCGGTCATTGAATCAACATCAACATACTTCAGAAACACGTTTTGTTATATTCCATGGAATGCTCTTAACACCCCGATAGCAATGAATACATTAAATGCTTTGACAATAAATCCATAAATATATATCATCTGTGGAAGCTGTAATACTGTAAAAAGCACGACCAATCATCTGAGCCGGCCCGGCTAAAGTAACTGGATGGCCTACCTGCCTGTCAGCCTTCCATCTGTGCACAAACTTATCTTGTGCCCTCATTGGTCATGTGTGCGTTCCTGTGTGTTGGAGGAGGGGCTCTTTAAGGAAGTCTGAAGGAAGGGGCAGATTTTTTCCGGTTGTGTATTTTCAAATTCTAGCGCACTCGAGCTGGTTTCTCCATTCTTACCTACCCTACCTTTAATGTTTATATAAATGTGTATTTTCTCAGAGCCACAGCAAAAGCAGAGGAACTTCTGGACATGAATCGGATGGCAAAGCACCACGGAGAGGGGTAAACAAAACGTATTTTATTCCCTCAAACACCTCAGACCTTATTTGCTTTACCTAACCTTTCATATAGACAGGGGATGAGATATGAAACAATCCTATGCAATAAAAGAATGGCTCCAACATGTATTAAATTGCATTCATTTCTCTTGAAGTACACTATTTGATCCCTTGTGTCACTTTCTGATCCTCCCTTTGTCTTCTCCGCCTCAGGATGATTTAACCAGTGACATTCCTGCGTCAGACTACGATGGTTTTGATGAGGATAATTTGGACATGGATGAGTTTGTGACGGTGGATGAAGTCCGCGACGATGAGACTCCATCTTCCAGTCACCGAACTCACGGCTCCTCCTCCTCCTCCTCCAGGACGTCTTCGAGAGCGAGGAGAGAGAGGCACAGCTCCGCCGACAGACACTCTTCATCGCGGTATTCAAAAGATGGCAAAAGATCTGCCATTTCCTCCTCTTCGTCATCCAGGTCGACGAGAGGCCCAAGCTCTTATCGCTCAGAGTCACCGAAAAAGTCAAAGAAATCCTCATCAGAGCCCACTAAATCTCCCACTAAATCCTCCGCCAGTTCCAGTAAGACCTCCCCTTCTTCCCCTATTCAGAAAACACAACGGAGCAAAACTAAGTCTCCATCCAAAGCATCAGAAACCGCGTCCTCTGGCTCCCGTTCATCTGCAGCAACTGTCGAGGCTTCAAAGGAGACTCATTCAGAGAGAGAGTTGGTGAAAGACAATCAGAGCGCAGTGGCAACGTCCGACCACAAGGTTTCAGCAGAGGACGTTCCTGCAAAAACTGTTGAGTCAGAAATGGAAACATCATCAGAGATGCGTCCACCTCTGCGGGAACAAGGGTTAGAGTCAAGCGCAGAGGTTGAGGAGGATAAGAAAAGCAAGGAGGGAGAGAAATACCAAATCCTGGATGAAACTGATGAACCGATGGATTGTGGGGAACAAGATGGTGTATCTGAAGCCAAACCGACTGACCCCGAGGGAGAGAAGGAGCAGAGCTTTCAGGTTCTGGACACATTTGGAGATGAAGGCAAAGCCCGCGCACAGGAAATGGAAGTGACCGAAGACCAAACGGCTACAGGTGAACAGGAAAGCTCCACCGTAGAGAAACTGTGCGAGGATGACAAATCTGACAAATCTATTAAAGATCAAGAAGCTAATAATGTAAATACAGGAAGTGAAGAAGCTTCTGTGCAAATGGGAGAAGAGATGAAAAGCAAAGAAGTCAACACCCTTCCTGACAAAGATCTTGAAAGCAGAGATGCTGGATTAGAAACCTTTGAGATTTTAGACTCGATAGGCGATCAGACGGCGACAGAAGACCTGGAAACCCCCGGTGGTCAGATGCCTAAAGAAGAAATGGAGTCCGTGGAGGAGGAGGAAGCGACGTATCGGGTGATTGATTCTGTTGAAGATCAGCCGACGGACAACACGGGGAGAAGAAACGGGAGAGGGGAGGCGAGGAAAGACGATAAAGCATCGACGAAGAGCGTTCCCTCAACCAGAGCGTCCAGAAGTGAAGCTTCGGAAAAAGACAAAGACGCCACCGCGGAGGACGTTGTGTATGAGATAATCGATTCGGTTGAAGACAAACCAGTTCACGATGTCGCCGCCGGCACAGAACAATCTGGTAGAAGACGGAGTGCAAGAGGAAAGAAGGAGACGGAAGTGTCTGAGGAGGCTACGTACGAGATCATAGACTCCGTGGAGGATGCCGGCGATGAACCGACTGCAACGCGATCTACCAGAGGAACGAGAGGAAGATCGGCTAAGAGAGACACGCCAGCACGGAGGAGGAACACTAGCACACCACCGAAGAAGAGTGACGTGGCTGTAGGAGAGGATGCTACCTTAGTAGAAGTGAAGGACGAGGTTGCTAAGGACGAGGTTGCTAAGGACGAGGTTGCTAAGGACGAGGTTGCTAAGGACGAACCGCCCGCTAAAAAACCAAAAGGAAAACGAGGAAGACCAAAGAAAATGACTAAAAAAGAGACGGCAGCGATGAAGAAAGCCGAGAAAGAGGCAGCTGCTCAAGAAACAACAACGGCGTACCAGATCCTCGATTCTGTGGAGGACGAGACGATGGACGAGACGTGTAAAAGCAACGAGAAACAAACGGAGGAAAGAGCATCCATCGCTCCTAAGAAGAAGGAGGAGGAGGAGGAGCCTATGTATCAGATCGTGGATTCTCTGGAAGAGACGTCTGAAAAGGTGGAGGAGAATCCAACCACTGAATCCCAGAGTGATGCCGCTACATTTGAAAAGACTAACGAAGAAGACCCCCCGGAGAAAGACATAACGGGTCTGGACGAGGTGAGCGATGAGGAGGAGGATTACCCCGACGACCACGCCGAGGAGGAAGAGCTGAGGAGGCGACATGTGGCCGCCAAAGAGAGGCAGATCTCAAAGGAGAGGGAGGAGAGGAGGAGCAAGGAGAGGAGGAGCAAGGAGAGAGAGGAGAGGAGGAGCAAGGAGAGGAGGAGAGAGGAGAGAGAGAGGAGGAGCCATAGCAACAACAGCAGCAGCAGAGGAGGAGGAAGAGCGAGGAGGACGAAGGAGGAGGAGGAGGAGGAAGAGCTGGTGACTCTGGATGAGGTGGGAGCAGATGAGGTGGGCGAGGGAGAGCTGCAGGCACTCGTCACTCTGGATGAGTTCGTAGAGGAGGTGGAGCTAAACACGCCAGAGACCCGCCCACTGAGCCAGGAGGACCAATCAGAAGACTTCTTAAACCCAGAGGTAAAAAAAAAATCAACATTTATTATTATTTTTTTCTGCCAGGGAAGCGAACATTTAGAGAAACATAAACTACAGCTGTACGAACTAGGGATGGGAATTTTAAAGCAAATGTATATTTGAATATTCGACCCCCAAAAAAACGATTAACCGAAATGTACATATCCTATTAAAAAAAAAAATAAAAGTGGGAGAAATGTTGACAAAAAAAAACAAACGTTTTAATTTAGAAAAATAAATAAATACATGTTCAAATAAGAATAGAAACCAAGTCGAATTTGTCAAATGTATTGAACTGGTGATCAGTTTGAACAGTTGACAGCTATAGGCCAACAGCTTTCATGCTTAAAACATAACTTGTTTTTTAAATGACAGAGGGATCATACACGAAGAACATAACGGGTTAGGGTAACGTAACCCTATCACAACAGAGATCAACCTGTAACAGGGCCTATGCACAGAATGCAGCTATTCAATACTCATTCTTGTTTAAGAATATGAGCATGTCTACTCAGGGGAGAGGCGGGTGCGGAGGCGATTCACAATCAGGCCGGCTGTAGAGAAGACCCTCTCAGCTGGAATTTGGGCATAAGATGAGGTTTGAGTCTGCGTGGTCTGCGTGTAGGGAGGGGCAGCAGACATATCATTAGCTAGAACTAGCTAGATCTGATGGATGTGGACATAAACGCGAGTGAAGTATAACCGGACGAGAGAGAGAGAGATCAGCACCTGCAGCTCTGCCCGCTGTGAGGGACCGGTGAGCGGAGCAAAACACACCTTTAGACCTAACACACTTAGCTATGGCACTGTCGTATACATTGAATTATTCCATTTGATAATATGTAATCAACTTAGGCACCCCTCCCAAAAAAATAAGAATTACAATAAAAATATTCATAACTCATATTCGAATACCTGAATAATTTTGAATATTCGATTAATCGTTCCCATCCCTAGTACGAACACAGACGCTACAGATTGTCGTGTCTCGGTTTTCAGACGTTGGTGACTTTAGACGAAGCAGTCGACAACGATGATGAGGAGAAGCAGGAGGAAGAGGAAGATGCCTCCATACCTGCCAAACGCAAACATGATGACGACCCAGGTGTGTATTTAGCACAAACGGCCCAACACATAAATGGAATTCAACATAGGAAGACAATAGAAGGTTTCATTATCTAATGTGCGTAAATGTTTTATGTCCTGTTTTAGAGGAAAGTGCAAACTTCGTGACGGTAGATGAGGTGGGAGAGGGCGAGGAGGAGGCGATTAAAACCAAGACAAGAACACCGGCCAAGAAGAGAGCCAGACAAACCCCCGGTAACACACACACACACACACACACACACACATATTTTTTACCATGGATGTGAACCTATTTGATTTTATTCCTGTGTGCTTGCCTCTGTTGAGATCTCCATATTAGGTTGAATACTTAAAACGAAAGTTAGTTATAATCAATTATATTCTTGTATAACCCACAATGAAAATGCTTCATATTTTATGATTTTCTTTATTTACAGTATATACAAAACACAAGTGGTTTGTTAAGTTGAGTGTAAGGGACCGTCTCCACAGCAGCATTAAAAAAATCTTGGAGGTGGGCGTATCTGAGGCTTGGGGATTTTTTTGCGATCAACCAATCACATGAATCTCCCGCCCGCGACATACGAAGCCAAAAAGCCCGAAGTAAACTGGATATAAACTCCCCAAAACAGGCGAAAACATACCACTGTCTCTGCCACCTCCCTCCATGCCTGGCTCCTCCGGTTTATATCCCGGTAGGTCTGGTCATAAAGCATCGGGTGATTCGCTACCGCTAATTTCTCCTCCATTTTTTGGAATATGAGGAAATGACCTGCGGTATGTCTCTCCCAGCATACACGCCGTTTGATTGGCTAGAGCTTGAACTGCCAGATTTGCGTACACGGGATTTGATTGGCTGACGCTTCCACCTCAACTTCAAAAGTTGAACATTGTTCAACTTTTAATCTTGAAAATCCTGAGAATCTCCGCTCGCCTGCCCACAATGCATTTCGGCGAAAAGTGAGGCAAAGTGACGTCACCCCATTCAAAGTGAATGGGCAGAAGCGTTTCAAGATTTTTTTAACGCTGCTGTGGAGACGGCCCGTAAGGCCTATTATGGTTTATGGGTGTCACTGATAAGAGAGAGGAGACAGTCTCTCCCCTCACAGCAGTACACAGGGAGGGGGGCTCCTGACTTGTTGGAGAAATACTGAGGCCCCGAAAAGGTGTTTATGCCATAGCCGAGAATAATATTTTGCAGTCCTGCACACTAGAGTTCATGACCTTTTTACACAAACATGGGTATGGAGGAGGGGTCTTTAGGTTCTCTCAAACTTGGTAAATATCTCTCAAATGTATTTGTTGAATGCTGGCTGAGTGAATTGTTGGATGAAGATCCCACAAAATTCCCGCAAGAATTTAGAATTTGTCTTGGTAAGTTTGGTACCAAGGGATATTTTATATAAAACCTCAAAATCAAAGAGGAAATGGCAAAAGAACCGTTATATTATTTTTCTCATTGTTTTTCATTTTACATTATTATTCTTCTCTTCAGTTATTTTAAATTGTTATATGCCTACACCCTACAACAGTATTCATTTAAATTAGATTTTTTTTGAACACATCTATCCCTTTTGTTTGCTGATTTTCACACAGCATGGAGGTGTAGTGCTGTCAGGTCGTTAAACTGATCAGAGTAAAATATGGCCCAGTGCTTTCTGCCGTTAGAGGCCAACTGAGTAAGAGGAAGAAACAATCACCCTGGTGTCTATAGAGATTCCAGAGCAATATGGAACACAAGTACCCCTTGAAGAAATTCTTAGGGAATTTGTTTCAACTGAAACAACTCGTTATGAATCGGAGAACAAATGTATACTATATTGTTGAGCTTAAAACCTCAGGAATCTACCAAGAGGATTTTAACCTGTCCAACGGGACTGCTTCAGTCACAGTATCTCCAGGGAAGCTGACTCCTGGACCCAGCAAACCTGCGCAGCATGAATCAGCGGCTGAGTCACCTGTACCCCTGCCAGCGGAGGGTGACGTTTCTTCCAATTCTGTGGGACAGACTGCGTATCTACACACTAAACCACTCAGATTGCAGTGGATTTCCAAAACAAAACGACGACTACTTGATAACTGCATGGTCGATCCAGCTAGCTGGCCTTTCGTTTCGAGGTGTCGTCCAGGAAAGAACAGCAACCCCTCCATGGTCAGGGTCACGGATATACAACAGGTTGCAACATGGATAGAGGAGTCTTCGTTGATACAAGTGAACGGCCCACCGCCCTTGCAGATATCAGGCAAAGTGGGAGTACGCACACAAATATACCATCATCAAGACGGCCCATGGGCTCTTTTTACTCTGGTGCCTGACCTCTGTGACAACAAGAACATTCCTGTGAGCTACTATGTTTTCGGTGAAAAGTAAAACGGTGTTAATTCCCATCGGTTATATCTCTTTATTGAGTAAAGCACCAGACTGCGTTTTTTTTTTTAACTTCGACGAACATGTTTTTAGTTTCGTAAGTTTTTTTGCTTGTAAAAGTTAAAACAAATCATAAAGAAGTTCTTGTCTTTCCCTTTCTTAGTATATGTATCTGAAACTATCTCCCAGTTTCTGCTAATGATATTAAAATGTGTTCACCTGAAGCTGCACCGCTTGCCTTTTCACTTCCATCATGAACACCTGAGCGTTATTACTTTGAAGTGTCTCTAATTTTAATTCATGCAAACAAAACTGCTGAGTTTCGGCAAAAAGCGATATACGGTGTTGCAGATGTAGTCATTAAAATCATAATAAACTCAATACTTTAACCTGTTAAGCCCGAGAGACCCCGGTACCGGGCCCCTCCCGCAACATCTTGCAGGAAACAGTGTCTGAGGGCATGTTCATTTAATAAACTATGAATGTTTTATATCCATGTAACGGGAAGAAACTCATCAAACTGATCATTTTTACATGACACTGAGCCTCTCAATTAGCAACGAGCGAAAATGCTAACAGATTTACTGCACCGAAACTCACTCATAAAACCTTATTATTGATCTTTTCTGCACATCCAACCCATCGTTCTGATCGTGAGATGACACAGAATCGATGGGTACATACATTATCACTCTATGAGAGAGAGAGAGAGAGAGCGATCGAGAGCTGGGTTTTGCCTCGGTAAGGTTCTCTCAAACTTGGTAAATATCTCTCGAATTTATTTGTTGAATGCTGGCCGAGTGAATTGTTGGATGAAAGTTTGAAACTGTTAGATTCCACTGACCATTTACGAGGAACTGCCTCTGAATGCTGTCGGACTCTAGGTGTGAATGTATAGCACCTTCGATCCATGAGGGGATTCCTTTGGATTATGTCGGAAGACTTTAATGTCTAAATTAAATCGGGTTTATTGAATGCCGAGTGATTTGTTGAATGAATGTTTGAATTTGCTTTTTATTATCACCGGTCATTTATGAGGAGATGCCTCTAAATTCTGTCGGACGATTTTAAATGTCACGACTGAATTGGGCAGTTGAAGTTACAATTTAGTGTAATAAATGTAAAACTGTGAATTAGGGTTGCATATTAGAACATGATCACAGCATGATATGTTTTGTAGGATTGTCATGTTGTAACGAGAGAAGGTAGAAACCCAGTATACGTGTAGACCAATTTTTCTTCAAATAAACTCATCCCACCTTTTGGATTGGGACAACTTAAAATACATATGCGCTCTCCTCTCCTGCTTCAAAGGTAAGACTGCACACTGCCACACTCACACTTAGGTAGGGCCACACCTCATTGCTGATATCAAAATCCTTCGGGGTCGCTTAAACAAATTTAGCGGGTCGTCTGAATTGAAACAGCAGTTAATTGAACCTGGTTCTTCAGGAGTTAATAGAGGTGAGATCTTGCTGACGTTGGTGGATCTGAGCCAAGCAGTAAACTTACATAATCTCAATAACTTCTGTTAGGTCAATTAGTAGGTCTGAGTCATTCGCCGGAATAAATGATCAGGCCTCCCGACTCCCAATACCTCTTACTAAGTGACTCTATTTGTATGCCTTTTAATACACACAAAGTAAACATTATTATTGCACACAGTTATTTGTTCAAATATAAATATCGAAGGTTTTAATTTTTAATTTAAATTATGTTCTATTGGCTTGTCATTTATAGGAGACATTAGCCAAGTGGTTTAACAAAAGTGTTTATTTGACCACACACACACTTAACGACTCTATTCTCTGAAACTAGAAGTGTCTGTGTGCTTAACGGAGTTCTTATCTTTAACCACAGCGAGAAAATCCACCAGAGGGAGAAACGTAACCGCAGAAGACGATGAAGCAGAAGAAGCGGAGTCAGATGTCCCGCCTCCTGCTCCCCTCGATGTCTCCTCATTGGACAGAGACGCTGAGCTGTCATGTGACCTCCAGCAGACAGAGGAGGAGGAGGAGGGGGGGGAAGCTGCGATTGTCCCCCACATCGAGGCTGCTTCTTTTCCTGGGCAGGATCTGACCGAGGAGCCCCCTGAGGACCAGAGTCTTGAGGAGTGTGTGGAGGAGGAAGAGCAAAGCAAACCGGACTTTAAAGGTACAAAGAGCTGAAGGAACATGGACTAAATTAAACACTTTTTAATCTTTAGTTTAAACATAAACTAGGGCTGTGCAAATAATCGTATTTTAATCTCGATTACAATTTTGGCTCGCAACGATTACGAAAATTAAACCATTATAATTTTTTTATATTATTTTTATTGGTTTTTCAGTTGAATTAAAGTTCAGGGTAATCAACTGTTAAAAACATTGTTCACGTTTTTTTTTTTCAATAAATGGATGTTTTTAAAGTAAATGGATAATTGTTTTTTAATAATCGTGATATCAATTATTGACCAAAAATAATCGTGATTATGATTTTTGCCATAATCGCACAGCCCTAGCATAAACTTGTATTTTTTCTAGTGAATAGTTGAGAAAATACAAGCTAGTCTTTAAAATGTGCAAATTAAAGGGGACCTATCATGCAAAATGCACTTTAGTACGTCTTTTCTACATGAATATGTGTCCCCGGTGTTCCAGGGAACTCACCAAGTCTCAGAAAACACAACCCTCTCTATTTTCCTCCATACCCAAATCTCTAAAAAAGGGGCTGCAACGGATCTGATAAAAACTGATCCAGATTTGAACACTGTCCTGACGTCAGGACGGTGGCGCTACGGCTATTGGGCCAACTCCACCAATCAGGAGGAGACGGCCACGGCCATTGCCGTTCGAAAGCGCTGGAGATGCTGTAGTACATATGCCAGGCCTGTAGGTGGTGCTGTTCTCACTAAATCAGCCCTTACAAAAACAGAGCTAAAAAATGTCAAATTGAGCGAAATGAGGCATGGCTAAAATGCATGATCTGTTTGGTATTTTGAAGAAAAAAAAGTATAAATATGCCTTATATAGGTATGGTCCTACACTATATTATTCAAATATAGCATGATAGGTCCACTTTAAGTTAATGTTTGATTGTCAGGAAAATTGAGTTAACGTCTTATTTCTGACCTGGAGCAGCTATTAGAAATATGAATAATAAGTGGATACAATCGCAAAATAAACATTATTTCCATTAACGATTACTGAAAAACTGACCTCAACCTGCCCAAAATGTTATTTCCTATCATAGATAATATAGAAAGGCAGCAAATGTTCACATTTGAGCTGAAACTAGTGTATTTTTTTTGTCAGTTTAGCTCAAAAAGTATTATCAAAATTGCTGCAAAATACTTTCTAATTTCTTCCGATCAACTAAGCATTCCATCTCTCTCTCTCTCTCTCTCTCTCTGTCTCTCTCTCTGTTTATTAAGTATGGTTTTATTTTTAATTGAATGTCTGTTTTTGGTGGACTCAAATGACTGAATGTATATTGTTTGTTTCTGCGTCTCTGTAGCTGTGAGTAAACTGAGGAAGGAGCCCGTCGGTCCGGAAGCAAAAAGATCCCGCTCTCAGTCTCCCTCCGTCTCTATCCACGTCAAACTGCCTTCATTCAAACCCAACAACCCCCTCGGTAACACACACACACACACACACACACACACACACACACACACACACACACACACACGTAATATGGTCTTTGTTTACATTAGCATCGCTAACACTCAGAGCTAACCTGTACTGGAGAGCATGTGTGTGAAGAAGCAGGAAATAAAAAAATATCTGAGACCCATAATATATGCCTAAAAATAGCATGATAGGAGATCTTTAAAAACACACACATTATCCAAGTATTTGTCACACTTTCCTCCTGTGTCACTGTCTCACCCTCTTTGTCTCCCCCTCTTTGTCTCCCCCTCTTTGTCTCCCCCTGCAGGTCAGGAGTTTGTCGTCCCTAAATCTGGATATTTCTGTAACCTGTGCTCGATGTTCTACCTGAACGAGAGTACGGCCCGGGACCGACACTGCGGCAGCCAGAGACACTACGACAACCTGCAGGTATATACACACACACACACACACACACACACACACACACACACACACACACACACACACACACACTCCACACTCTTAATATATATATTAACAATAACTTTTTTTTTTAAATGTAAATATGACTCAAATATGTATGAATGTTCATTTAATTCATTTCTTATTTTAGAAGTTACTTACCTGTATGTCACTGTTATCTTTAATTGTACTAATCTTTAATCTTGTGTGAATCTGTGCCGTCCTGTTTTTCACTCTCACCCTGTTGCTGTTTGATCTCGTCCATCTGATCTGAAACACACCCTTTGCTCCACTTCTCTCCCTCTAGAAACATTACGAGAAGCTGCAGCAGAAACCTTCCGATTCCTCGCAGAGTTTCCAAGGATCTGTTTCCGATTGATCCCGGCGACTTCTAACTATTTCTTTTTTTGCAAAATCATGTCAAGCTGGACCTGTGTGTGTGTGTGTGTGTGTGTGTGTAGCTTCACACACACCTGCAGAGGAATCGATGTGTATATTATCTACCATAAAAACTCAGTACATATTTGAGCATGTATTCAAACTCTACAGGTTCGGTGCCTTGCACAAAAAAATTAATAATAAATACGATTTTTTTTTTTTACATAACGTACGATTAATTTACTTTTTGATTTGCGCTAAATATGTTGAACGGTCTGTGTGTGTGTGTGTAACCTGTTTCTGTTGGAGCTTCATCTCTTGTTTTTTTAAATTGTGTATCATATGAAGCCTAGAATTGAAATTAATTCCCATCAGTTATATCTCTTTATTGAGTAAAGCACCAGACTGCCTTTTTTTTTTTTAACTTCGACGAACATTAGCGACGTTATAAATAATGTGATTTATTCTTTTGTTACTCTGTGAAAACGTGTCGACAGTTTCTTATTGTTTTTTGTTTCGGATGTCATTTTCTTTTGCTTGTAAAAGTTAATACAAATCATAAAGAAGTCCCTTTCTTAGTATATGTATCTGAAACTATCTCCCAGTTTCTGCTAATGATATTAAAATGTGTTCACCTGAAGCTGCACCGCTTGCCTTTTCACTTCCATCACGAACACCTGAGCGTTATTACTTTGAAGTGTCTCTAATTTTAATTCATGCAAACAAAACTGCTGAGTTTCGTCAAAAAGCGATAAAATATGTTAGTCATTAAAATCATAATAAACTCAATACCTTAATAAATGATGATATATGAAATAAACCCTAAAAAATAAATGACTTTATCCCAAAAGGACCCACAGGTTTCCAGGGTTCTTACGGTCATTAAAAACCTGGAAAAGTCATGGAAATTCAAAAAGCTAATTCCAGGCCCTGGAAAAATCATGGAAAACAATATTTTTCTCAAAGTTATGGAAAAGTCATGGAAATTTAACTAAAGTTGCATCAAATATAATTTATATTTTATCTAATCGCCAAAATAGTAATACTATAATGATAATAAATACTGTATGGTATAGTAATGAAACGTGAAATGGCATTTAACTGTCGAGGTGTTTTGCTGGTGAGAGATTTGAGTTGCTTTAGCGTGTAGAAGCTAGTAAGCCTATTTGATTTGTTTTAGATAGGCACAACATGTTTCATATGCAGACCTTATTTTCCTGTTCCATGTTAAAATAATCCATTTTCAGTGGTACCGCTGAGAAAGAGTCATTTCTTTGGTCATGGAAACTTAGGTAAAGGTCATGGATAAGTCATTGGTGAAAAAGTGTATGAACCCTGGGTGTCACATGAACTTTAAATGTTCTGGAAAGTTCCTTCTACAGTTTTAGTCTTTATTTTATCGCATGAAGTCCCTCAGTGACACACCCTGAACAGTCTGGTGGGTCCTGGTCCAGGTCATGTGACTTTGTGTTCCCATAACAACATGTCCAAGATGTCCATGTCCAACACATGTGACATAACGAGCTACATTTCAAAAGCTTTTTTTTTTGTTGCTAAAGGGAAAATGTAAGCCATTTAAGAATGAAAATGCCTACATAACATGTGCTTTATTACATTTAACCTGTTGTGGAAACATTTCTTGATCAAATTGATATGAAACAAATGAGACAAACATCGCTGTGACACTGATCGGGACGTTAACCCTAAACGTTCAGAGTAAACCCAAAGTGACATATATGCACAATTAGAAATATGATTATGATCTGCTCAGTTAATTTAGCTGATTCAATTATATTGAGTTCATATGTTCTTCTCATTCTTCAATTCAAAGAATGTTCAAACTAATTAACCAAAAAATCTTCCTCATTAATGAAGTTATATATAAGAGTGATTTTACCATTAAAGCCCAATGTGACATATATCACATTTCAGATATTTGACACTAGGGGGAGGTTCTTGTCAGAAATGTGTTCTAGGTGGTCTATTTAGTCTAAATTATGTTCCCCTTAATTTTCCCAAAAGTAGAAATGGGTCCGCGTTCTTATTTTAAAATTAATTTCAGGAGAACAATTTCTTGAATTCATATGTATTTATTCAAGGGCCATTTATTTCATAATGCCATCTTCTACATTACATTACATTATTACATTACATTACATGTCACTTGTTAGACGCTTTTATCCAAAGTGACTTACATACTCAATACTGTGGACAATCCCCACAGGAGCAATGTGGGGTGAAGTGTCTCAGGGACACAACGGTTGCGGTCGAATAGTCCAAAAATCAGCTCCTATCGTCTATCCATATCGTCTATCCCTTGACCTCTGTGTGAAACGTCACGGGGTTAAGGGATAGTATAAATATGGCTGTTTTTATCCACCTCCTCATAGTGTTTCCTCACCGCAATCCTGTGGCCATCGTCCAGCTGCGTAGCAGTTGCTTACTCGCGGCGATAAAATAATCGCCCCTCCGGTAGTAGTTTTGAGGACACTGATTGGCTATATTTTATGACACATGTTCATATCTTGAATCAGCAATTGGCTAACCTGCTACAGAGACCCGCCTCCGTGGGGCGATTTCTCCATTGCCCCAGCACAGAACTTCAGTCATACAGTGTACTAGGAAAAGCATATATTTTGCGCAAATTATTTAAAAATCTTATTTTACTCATATTTCTGGGTGCATTCCATATTTCAAACACAGAAATATTGACAGTTTATATAATTAATTAGTATTATTATTTGTATTAATAATAATGTTTTGTGTGTGGTTTAGGGACGGCGGCGCCCTATCGCTCCCTATAGGCCAGCTGCCACTGGCCATAGATATTTGACCAAACTGAACCAGAAAGTATTGTGTCTGGCGCATGAGGTCCAATGTTTGGATAAGGAACGTTTCAGCTTTAACCTGTTTAGCCCGAGAGAGGCTGCGGGTTTTTTTTTCACGAAACTGTGTCTCAGGGCTTCTTAACATTTAAAAACCTATTAATGTGTCATACCCGATTAACGGGAAGAAACTCAGCTAACTGACGATACAAACCATTTTTACCAAAACAATTTTTTTTGCAGCATATTACTCACAACCTCTTTATGCAAGTGTGGTTTATTCATCAGATGTACAGTTGACACCATGTACACTCCTCCGATCATTATTTTTTGATTTGTCTTGTTTTTTATGGCAATTTATTGTTTGACATGTAAATAATCGGATGGAACATACCATGATGACATTTGGGATGCGGACGGGTTTTCAATATGAGGGAAAGTTGTTTCCATTATTTGTTCTATCTACCCGTCCTCTGTTTAGGAGGAACATTATGAAGAAATGTATTTATTTTCAATGAGAACTGAGGATGGGAGCTCCAAGCTGACACAAAGAGGACATTTCGTTAGTTCTGAGATGCACATTTTTCTGACGTTTGTTTCTGTCTGGGCTACAACAAATTGGGTAGATGAATTGCCAGGGTCGGAAGACCCTGGTTTGAGTGGGATGTTATATTGTTTTCTTTTTGTGTTTTACGTTTTTGTTACATTAGTTTTAATGGTAAATAATAAAAGCAGTGACAATCCCTTTTGTGTATGGGGCCAAAATATACAACGTATTAAATATAATCCCACAGATATGCAGCAGTCACCATGCAAAATATGAAAATATATTCTTGGAATATTAAAGGCTTGGGAAATCCCATAAAAAGGAATAAAGTACTATCTCTTCTTAAAAAAGACAAAGCTGATGTGGTCTTCTTACAAGAAACCTTTCTCTCAGATACTGAACACCTGAAATTGAAAAGAGATTGGATAGGTCAGGTGTATTTTTCATCATATAAAACCCATAGTAGAGGGACAGCTATTGTGATAAACAAAACTTGCCCATTCGAATTAGAAAAATTAGTTACGGACCCAAATGGTCGGTTTGTTTTGGTTGTCGGTACTATTTTTGGAACCCCAATCACCTTTTTAAATATCTATGCTCCCAACATATGAACCAATGTTCATGTCTGACATGGTGCTGCTCTTCAGTGAAAATTGTAAAGGATTAGGACTGATGGGCGGCGATTTCAACTGCACTCTTAACCCTACATTAGATCAATCTAACCAGTCCAAGAGCCACAATCTTAAATCCTCAAAGGTCCTTCAGGGGCTTTGTGCAGAATGTGGCCTTATTGATGTATGGCGTCAACTAAATCAGGATGTCAAAGATTACACTTTCTTTTCAAATGTCCACAACTCTTATTCTAGAATAAATTATTTTTTGATTCCCTCAAAATACATGCATAGGGTAAAAGAATGTAAAATTGATTCCATTAATATTTCGGATCATGCAAGAGTTCATTTAACTATTCACTTGGAGAGTGGAGAATTTGTATCCGGGCGCTGGAAATTTGATAAGTCCTTACTTAGAGACGAAAAATTCAAATAAAAAATGCGAATGTGGCAGTGGCGGCTGGTGGAAAATATTTTAGGTGGGGCTGTGGAAATGGTGATCAAACAATACTAGGGGGGTCCTGGGGGATGCTCCCCCGGTAATTTTTTTGGAGAAAAGACCCCTTAAATTATGACTTCTGCTGATGTTAGAGGGGGGGAGAAGGACAATTTGAGGCTTAAAAATATGAGAAAACTGATCAATACCTCCATAACTTCAGTGTGGTTAGCTATGAATCTTCCAAAACTTCCAAACACCTTGTTCTGGACATAGTTTCTACAGCATAAACTGTGCAACAGTACAGTATGCCCACACAAACTGCAGAACACCGGGGCTTTGGGAACACTGATTTAATTCCCATTTAACCTGTTAAGGGGCTTTTTTCCCCCGTTTTTTTTCTCACGAAACTGTGTCTCAGGGCTTCTTAAAATGTAATAAACTATTCATGTGTCCTACTCAGAGGAAACGCATCTAACTGATGATATGAACCATGTTTACCGAAACAAAACACAAGTCTCACAAGAAGCGTCTAAATGAGCCCTGAGCGAAAAAATGCTAACGCACTCTAGGTATAAATCAATCGATATACTTATCGGATATGCACAAACAAGCTTACAAGCTGAGATTCCACAAATTCTAGAAATATAAGTATCATCACTGAGCGATCAGAACTCGCGACAGGGGAAGCAAATACAGACATCACACGACGTAGCTTTAGGTAGCAAAACATGGAGATATGCTCACCTTTTGCAGAATAACAATTCTGATCAAAAACGAGAAAAACGCAGCTGAAGGTTAATCCATAGGTTAATCCAATGTGTCTGTCACTTTGAAAAATGATTGATGATCCATAATTCCATTTTTATGTCAAAAACTGAGTTTTCATTAGCTGCTAATGGTAGCTTCCAGAGTGTATGACAGCTTCCTGTTTTGTCTCCTTGGATACGAGTCCAAACAACTCACAGACTGCACCGGGCGCTCACGTAGCAGCAGTTGCGTTTTTATATGTACAAAGGTGGTGGGGCACAAAAAACTTAGATGTCTATATATAAGCTTCTGCAGTGACGTGCAGTGAGGTTCATGGCTGCTGAGGCACTGGCACTGACTCTTCAGGTTTATAAATATTATATTTTGACCTAAACCAAAATATAATATTATTTTCAAAAGCTTTTTTTGTCTGATGCTTCGATTAATTTTAAACAGACAGTTCAACAAAAGGATA